AACCTACCGTTTTAGTAGGACCATGTGTGGGGGTAGCAACAAACCTAAAGCTCCTACAAAGTGGGAAGTCAGATCAGAGACCCCTCCTATTTAAACCCAGAAGATGACATGATCATTTAAAGGGTGAACCAATCCCACAACTGAGCTACTTACCTTTGGTTTTGGATGCAAGGGGAGGTAGGAGGTGGGGACAAAAAGCTTCCCCAATAATAGGTAAGCACAGTTGGCTCTCAATACTATTTGGGTCTAGAATCTAATCTACCCATGTGGACTGGAAAATCCTCAAGCTAACAATTCAGTTTAAAGTGGTCTCAGGTTGGTAGTGCCTCCAGGCTCCTGGCAGAATGCAGTCCTCCCTGGACGACTGCACTTTAAACCCGGGCCTCAAGGAATTCCTTCAGATAGAATTTAAACGATTATGAGTTTACAATGAAAATAAAGCACACAAGGAAAGAAACCACTATGAACAGGAGTCATTAGGAAGAGTAGGCAACAGAATTAGACCAGCAAAGACAGATGGGGAAAGGAAAAATACAAAATATAAAATGTCTTATTTATGTCTAAAGAAAAAGTATGACTAATGGATATCAAAAAGGACCAGATTGGCTTGATAAAAATGAAAACTTTTAAAAAATGAAAAATATAGTATGTGGGCTGGCCGAGTGGCGCATTGGTTAAGAGTTGGCTTGGGACACCAGCTCTGAACAGCAAGGCGCCAGTTTGGATCCCACATGAGGGCCAGTGACACTGCGCCCTCTACAGCTAAGATGGTGAACAACAGCTCAACATGGAGCTGGGCTGCCATGAGTTGCCGGCAATGGCTTAGGCTGCAGCCCCTGCTGCAGTGGGCTGCCATGAGCTACCGTGAGTGGTTGGCAGTCAGCGTGAGCGGCTGTCCAATGGCTGGTGAGCGACTGCCTCACCCAGGAAGGACGCAATGATAATACCAACATGGGCCAGTGAAGCCATGTTCTCCACAACTAGACTGAAGAACAAAAGGACAGCAACTTGTCTGTTCCCCTCCCCCGATTCCCCAATAAAATCTTCTTTTAAAAAAAGAAAAATATAGTATGTGAAGTTGGAAACTGGTTAAGAAGCAGATTAGACAATACCTAAAAGGAGAATGAACTGGAAGTAGGTACAGAGAAATGGAAATTAAGGAAAGAGGTTAAAAAACATGGGACGTAGAGATAGGTGAGAAAGAATCTGAGTTCCAGGAGGAGTGACTATTTTATTTTCAAGAGGCTGAGAATTTTCTAAAATTGATGAAATTTATAAACCTAAGAATCAGGAAGTCCCAAGCAGGACAAAAAAAAAAAAAAGCATAAATTACAAAACACTAGGAAGACTAACATCTAAAAAACAGCTATAAGGAAAAGGAAGAGAGGCTGAATTAAAAGCTAGGACATCTATTGCTTGATGCTTCTGGGATGGAGGAAAAGGTTCTGATTACAGAAATGTGAGATGAAGCATAAAATGCTCTCCTCCCAGTGACTGTAAGCAGAGGGCTGCAGCTACTAAGATAGTTTGCCTTGCCCTGAAGGAGTAAGAGATCTAGTGCTATAGGGTCCCCAATGCCACATGTGTCAAGACTACTTTAAAGCCAAAGAACACATTCTGCCTGATAAAATCAGAAAAAGACTTGAACTATCAGGCTCACAGAAACACTAAGCAAGTTGGTGAGAAGCTCAAAAAAAGTGTGTATGTCATGGGTGGGGAGATCTAAGCAGTTAAAAGCACTGTAGGACGGCCTGTTAGCTCAGTTGGTTAGAATGCAGTACTAATAACACCAAGGTTGCTGGTTCAATTCCTACATGGACCACTGAGCTGCGCCCTCCACAACTAGAATGAAACAACTACTTGACTTGGAGCTGATGGGTCCTGGAAAAACACTTTAATAAAATAAAATTTAAATAAAATAAAGCACTCTAAATCTTACCTTGGAACCAGAGTGTTGATGTGAAGATGTCACTGCTGCCACCAAAGGTATTCTCCACTTTCCCTACTGCTTTGCTCTCGATTGAGAAATTCCCAGCAGAGGCATCTGATTAGCCAAGCCTTGGTCACATGGCTCCAATGGGATGCCAGGAAAGCAAGTACCTGGGCTTTTATATGGTGGAAGGTGGGCTCTGTCCTCTACCTAGATTTATGTTGGGGAATTCGCAAGCATGAGAAGAGGGTTCAGATGAAGCGTGGTCAAGAAAACAGTATGCGTATGTCCACTGCAAAGCTGTATTGGCTCCCCAAGCCTTCAAACTGCTACTTTTCTCTTCAGCAAGGACCAAGGAGACATTGGAGAGCTCTGAGCTTTAGCTGTGGATTTGTATGAGTGGGTTTTTTTTTCTTTTTGTTTTTTATTGGTAACAGCTTTATTCAGATATAATTCACATGTACAATTTACCCATTTAAAATGTACAGTTCAGGGCCAGCCGAGTGGTGCGATGGTTAAGAACTGGCTTGAGACGCCAGAGGGCCCCGGTTCGGATCCCACGTATGAGGGCCAGTGACACTGCCCTCCACAGCTAAGATGCTAAACAACAGCTCAACCTGGAGCTGGGCTGCTGTGAGTCGCTGGTGACAGCATAGGCTGCAGCCCCTGCTGCAGTGGGTTGCCATGGGCTACCGTATGTAGCCAGCAGCCAGCGTGAGTGGCCATCCAGAAGCTGGCGACTGATCTGCCTCACCCGGGAAGAGCACAATGATGGTGCCAACTTGGGCTAGTGAAGCAACGTCCTCCACAACTAGACTGAAGAACAAAACGACAGCAACTTGTCTGTTCCCCTTCCCCCAATTCCCCAGCACTGTTCCCATCCCCCCAATTCCCCAATAAAAATCTTAAAAAAAAAAAAAGTACAGTTCAATGGTTTTTAGTATATTTACAGACTTGTGTAACCACCACAGTCAATTTTGTAACATTTTTGACACCCCCAAAAATTACTTCCCATTTCTTTCCAATCCCCCAGGTATAGGCAGCCACTAAACCACTGTCTGTCTCTCAATTTGCCTATCTTGGGACATTTCACATAAAATGGAATCTATGTGATCCTTTGTGTGCAAATGAGCTTTAGGGATATAAGGAATTGAGGCTGTGGGGATGGTTTCACAGGGGCTCAGGGTAGTAAACTTCTGTCCCAAGTCTTCCTGGAAGTGAGTGCCCTCTTGGGATGGAAACGTCCTGAGGGCAGAGAAGGCGGCTCAGGTTTTTGCTGGTAAGAGAAGGGTGAATTCAGGACTGCTCACCGGATTACTGGATTTGGGCAAATCAGGCCCGAGTCAGGGGGTGACGTTAAATTGTGTGCTAAGGACTGGGCAACACAGGAGTGGACTACAGATGGGAACATGCAGGGTTTGGGGGCCATAGCTGGTGTGTCCTTCCCTTAAGACCTGCTGGAGACTCGTCCATTGCAGATGAGCGAGTAGGTCTCCATGGGAGACTGAGGAGCAGGGTGACTGAGGAGGATGAACACGGGGTTGAGTGAGGGCACTGAGGAAGACCAATGGCATAGAGCTTAGCCCACATAGGAGCCCATGGGGGCAGAAGAAGCACGGGTGGCAGTGAGAGAAGGACCCATCCTGTCCCCAGCATGTGCATTCTGGCCTGGCTGCTACAGCACAGGGCTCTCTGGGTTTCTGGTGGGGAAGGATAGGCTCATCGAGAGCACGGGATCCCAGAGAAGGACAAAAAGCTCTGGCTCCAGAGACTAGCTTTTGGGGCATGACCTGGACCATTAAGAGAGTAGACCATGATCTCTGACACAGGTGCAGAGGCACCCAAGTGACACTGCAGCAGCTCCCGTGTGCCCTGGGGCCCTCTGTAGCCCAAGCTTGCTGCTGCCTGCCTGGCTTCTGCCTCATGGAACAGCGTGGACCGACAGGATAGATCTGTGAGAACCACTGACAACACCATGGGGCCACCATACCGCAAAGCAAGTCCGGGCCCCCTGTGTCCGCCCTCTGTTGGCCCTCTGGTTTGTTGCCTCATCCTGGGCACTTTGACTCCCAAGCCCTGGCTTCTTTTTCCCTTACAAATTCTATTCCAAATCTCAGTCCTAGGTGGAACCTTGTTCTCACTGTCTGGCCTCTCTGCCCTCTCTCACTACCTGACTATTGCCTGCCACTTCTGCCTCCTGTAGTTTTCTCCTAGTCACCTTGGTTGCAAGAACCATGAACTGGGTATGCCTGGGTCATTCTTTCTCTCCTCCCCTATTGGACCCTGCCAAAAACGCAGAGTTCCACCCCTGGCACCGGGACTCCTAGCCTGACCAGCCCTGTTTCAGTGTGGGTGGGGCCAGGGGAGCCAATCATAGCAGTACAGGCCTTCCTATGGGGCTAGTTGGGGTCCGGCTTTGGCAACAGTGTGTAGCTCTGCATGGCCAGAAGAGAGGCAACGAGGAGGAGCTCATGGGAGCTTCCATATAGGTCTGCTTCCAACCAAGATTCTCAAGCATCCAGACCGGGCACACATTCAGGCTCCTGGGTGCCTGCAGTAGCTGCAAAGCTCCATTATCTCACCTCCACCCTGTCAGCCTTACCTAGGGAAGGTACACTGCACTCACTGCTGGGTGTGGTAGCCATTGGCAAAGTCTTTACCGTGTCAAATGCTCCACACCTGGTACTCAACAGAGTCCCACAGGGACTGGTCCAATTCCACAACGAAGGGAAATGGGGCCCTGCTTGATAATCTGCCCAAGTTATATGTCATCCAGCTCGCGCAGCAATGTGCGCTTGGGTCTCCAGCCTGCCAGGTGGAAGCATTTCTGATCCCACACCCTGAGAAGGGCTGGAGATCCATCCCTGTCCACTTAACCTCCTGCCAAGAGCGGGGATGCTAAGACACACCTGACTCCCTCCATGTTTCTCCCCAGGCTGCCATCTTCACTCTAGGAGTGACTCTCGGCATGGAATGAGTCAGCCTCAGGGCCAAAGGGCTCTTCTCCCCTCTCAGCCAGAAAAGCACCCCCTGCCCCGTGAGATCCCTAGCAGTCACCACACAGGCCATGTACTCAAACTCCAGCATTTTATTTTTTAGAAAGCCCCAGCCCTACCTAGCCCTGACCCCATCTCCAGGGCTACCGGAAGGTAGAGAAGCTCTGGGTGCCGGTGCAGGAGGCATAGGGCACACCCCGAGAGCGAATCTGCAGGGTGTGGAAGGTGAGGGGTGGATTGGGGCCTGAGGAACCTGGGTTCAGGGACTCGGTGTGAGGCTCCATCACTGTCACGGGGACTGCATAGGACAGCATCTGGGGCCGGTCATCATGGCGTCTCACCGTGCCCTTGCCCAGGAGGTGCAGGATGCAAGAGAGGACATCGGTACTGCTACAGGCAGACCCCCTACCAAGGCTGCTGACCAAACCCCTGGGAGGACATGGGCCCTTCTGCCAAGCCTCCAGCACCTGGTATGGAGAGAGAAGGGGGAGCAAGGGAAGGTCAGAGACACCCAGCTCACCCCACCTCTAGCTTCTACTCCAAGCACAAGCTGCCAAGACAGTAAGCCCTAAGGACACCAGGCGCACCCCAACCTCACTCGTCACAAACCTACAGCCTCCATAGTGAACCAGAGGCTTCAAACGTGGATCTACCTCCCACTGTGGTCTGCCCTCCCCCCACAAGGCCCCTCACGCCCTGCCCACCCCTGCCTACCAGACAGACAAGCTGGTCAATGTGCAGCCCCTCGTCCCCATGGGCCTTGAGGATTCGGACAATGAGGCAATTTAGAAGATTCCGTCTCTTCTCCAGGTTCCGGCCCTCTTCATCCTCGGCTTTCAGGTAGATCTGAGGTGGGATGAGCCACACGTTGCCTCTCCTTGGCCTGAGCTCCTCGCTATCATCTCGAATCTTGAGCACCCCTGAAATAAGCACTGGTCACTTGGTGGGGGGGCCCATGATGAGGCTGGTCCCGGCTAAGGTTTCCCTGCCCTAAGTACACACCTCCTGGGACATCCTTTTGCTCGTGGAGGTCCAAGGGACCTCTTGAAGAAGTAAGAGGCCCAATCGCCTGATTCAGCATGTCTGGAGACAGCCCTGAGAGCACCAGCAGACTCTCCACGGAGACCGCCTTAGAGAGGAAGAGAGAACATTCAGGGCCTCCACAAGGGGTGGCGCGGAGAGGGCCGAGGGCAGGATAGTTTTAGGGAAGAAAGGTGAGGACAAGGTGGGAGAGAGCAGGGAGTCAGAGGACTCAGCCACCTTCAGGTCATTGAGATACAGCAGCAGCCACATCTGCACGGTGGACACATGCAGGGTCTGGTCTCCAAACTGTAGCTCAGCCCGGCCCAGCCATGTCCACTGCAGTCGCCTCTGTGGGCCCTGCTCTAGGGTAGGATAGCTCTGACCTGAGAAAGATCAGGGAGAAAGAGGGCGGCAAAGAGCAGGGAAAGGAGGGAGTCGGGGCTGGTGAGGGCACACCATTGGCTGAGCTTTGTCCCACGAGTCTCTTCAGAGCATGAGGCCCAGCATTTGTGGGCACTGTGGTTCCTGGCCTGAGTGTCCAGAGCTCCGCGTTCTCTGTGCTGCTTCCTAGGTGAGCCTCAGGCATCTGGGGGCCCACCGGGTGCCTAGCCTTGTAGCAGGTGGGCTCTGATCAGTGTCTTTGAGGAGTCTCCCATTTTTAGGGAGACAAAACCATGAAGTAAGGAAGGACTGGGGCTCTTATCAAACTGGAATATCTGTGAGAGAGGAGATAATGTCTCCTCCATTCGTTTGGGACTCCCTGAGGGCAGGTCTGATTCTCTCACCCTCCTATGTCAATGCCCAGTCCAGGATCAGCTTAGGGTACAACGACTAACCAGGAGCCAGACACCTACCCCTGAGGGAGAGCCATTTCTGGTGGCCTCAGGTGCCTCCTGCCTCCATCCTCCCCACCACCCACAAAAAGAGTCCTGGTTCTTATATTAAGGACAGAAAAGGTAAGTCTAACAATCTCGTGTCGGACAGCCCCACCCCACCCCCAACACAAACCTAACTTCCTGCCCTTTCTTCTCAAATCCCCCCCATCAAGGCTCCCAACCTCAGGGTCCGCCCCAACCCCAGGTTTTTTTCAGGTATCCCAGCCCCCGTTCTTTCTGCCCAGCTCCTCACTCTTGTTGTAGAAGTTGGAGTATCGGTTCAAAGTGCCCCTCAGGTAGTAGGGAAGGCAGGTTTTGGGGTTCAGCGTGTGGCAGATGGAAGCAATGGGCCAGCAGCGTGCTGATAAGACAAGCACAGACACTTCTGGCATTGCCCCTTCATAGTAGAGGTCCTCGTTCTCCTCCTCTTCTTCTGTCACTTCTGCTGCCGCTGCTGCCCCAGCTCCCTCAGCTTCCTCTTCGTTCTCTCTCTCATGCTCCTTGCCACTGGCCTCATGGCCCACCTGAAGAAGGAACATGGGGTTCCCAAAAGCCAGTGGGCCTCCTCTGGTCTGCTCAATGCCTCTCTTCCTTCCTATCGTCCCATTTGTGTTAGCAAATCCCTTCCCTGGCAGCCACCTGTGTTTTCTTCTCTGTGTCCTCCAGCTTCAGTAGTTCCTGATCGAGTCGCTGGAGCTGGTAGACGTGGAACTGGCGCTGCAGCTCCTCAGAGGTGCTCAGACTCTGCAGCATCTGCTGGGGGAGGCGGTTGGGGAAGCAGGGGCCGATCTGCTCCAGCACGGCCCCCTCCAGCCAGCTCGAGCCCAGGCTCAGCAGACGGTCCGCCATGTAGTGCCTGCAGCACACACGGCCCGGGCCGAGCCTCAGTGTGGGCACTCGGCATGGCCCGGCCTCCCGCTCCAGGAC